CGCCCCAACTGAAACTATATGCTCTCATTAGGCCAATACACACTTATTGACCTGAGCGCACTTTCAGTGGTAGAATTACCCAGCTAAAGGTGTTTTGTTCCACTCTCGGACTATGATTTTCCTTCATCACATGCAAATTAGGGCGTTATTATTCCAACATCGCATCACACAGATGCTAAAGAGCTCAAATCTCCAATACCGCAAGCTACATAGGCGCTTAGGAAATTATTTCCAACACTGCATTTCAAAAAGCATTAAAGAGATGAAATTTTTCAACATTGCACCCTATCGGCAATAAGGAAAATATTGCCATATGGATTTCTCACTACTTCTTCCTATTAGTAAACTCCTACCCCCTATGATCATGCTTTCATATAAACCACATGTTTATATTTAAACCACAAATATATATAACCATATATTTTCACTTGTTTGTTTAACTGAAATCCATTTATATGCAATAACCATGCATTGTCTCAAAACATGCTCAATCTAAAAATAATTTCATGCAATAGATATCATACTTTCAAACAGTTATAATAAATAGTCAAACCAAGAAAGTTATTCAATTGCCTCAACCTTTCTGTCACAAGAAAGGTTACCCATAAGTTCAACAACCATTAATGCATCTTTACAAGTTTCCTTCCTTACTCTACATGCATAACATACTAATATATAAACAATTGGCACTATTAGTGAATTAATCAAATTGACCAAAAACACTTAACTATTGCCTAAAACTACATTTAGCCATTAATTCACTTTCATTTTGTCAATTTAGGTCCAACACTACTCATTCACCACTTTCTATTACTACTATCAATCTCAATTCACCTCTACTCGATTTCCACCCCCTTTCACCGTTGATTTAGGGCTAATTTGAGCTTATAGCTTCAAAATTTTATTGTTTAACTCATCACTAGTCATAAAACTTTAGTTTAACTCTTGAGAAATTTTTCATTACTAAAAGGTAAGAAACAAACCGCCTTAAATTTTCTCAATTCATTTTTTTCTACAACTTATATTAGGAAAAATTATAGTAGAATCAAAGCTAAGGATAATACGAAACTTACTTAATAAGTTATCGATCAAAAACTTTTTCGAATACTCTAAGAATTGATGCCCTAACAGAGAATTGCTTCCTTTTCCTCTCCTTTTGTGTTTTCCCTTCTTCTACCCTCTATTTTCACAAACAAAACACATTCTTATCAGCAACTTTTTGTACCATGCACTGTGGCATAGGCAGCGTTAGCCACGACGCATGGCACAGTAAGAAAAATCTTCACTGCATGCACGTGCTTCGTTTTAAGATGTGGTTTTTCTATCTGTCTCTGTTCATTTAACATCTCAAAGAGTCAAATCATCAAGTTATTATCCAAAATTCTAATCATTCACTAATTACTAATTTTTTCTTAATTAGCAACTAGTTTAAGGATTAGAAAACTAGGATGTTACAATAAATCTCTATGGTTGCACCATAAAGATAGTGTCTTTATATTTTTAAAGCATGTACTATTGCCACTAATTCTAAATCATGTGTGGGATAATTTTCTTTGTGATGTTTTTACTATCTAAAAGCGTAGGCTATGACTCTTCCTTACTGTATTAAAACACAACCCAACCCATACTTGCTAGCATCACTATAAATCATGAAGGCTGGTTGGGATCAGGTATGGTTAATACAAGGGTAGAGGTTAGCCTCTTTTTAATTCTCAAAAAATTTCCTCACATTTATCATTCCACACAAAAGGTTGATTCTTCCTAGTAAGCCCGATTAGCAGTATGACAATTCGAGAACAATTCTAGATAAATCTTCTGTAATAACCTGCTAAACTTAGAAAGCTTCTTATCTTTGTAACTGTCTTAGGCCTTTCCCACTTCAAGATGCCTCTATCTTACTAGGATCTACTGTGACCTTGTCCTGTGAGATCACATGGCCTAAGAATATGACTTATGTAAGCCAGAATTCACACTTACTAAGTTTAGCAAATAATTGTTTTTCTTTTAAAAGTTCCAAAATAATTCTCAAATGCCTCTTATGTTCCTTATAAGTTTTAGAGTACACTAATATATCATCTATAAAGACCATAACAAACTGATTTAGGTATTGTCTGAAAATTTGATTCATGTAATCCATGAATATGGTAGGTTTGTTGGTTAATCGATAAGGCATTACTAAAAACTCGTAATGTCTGTACCTAGTCTTAAATGCCATTTTAGGAACATCTGCAGCTTATACTCTTAATTGATGTTAACCTGACCCCAAGTCAATCTTATAAAATACTCGAGCTCTAACTAGTTGATCTAATAAATCATTAATTCTAGGGAAAAGATGCTTATTTTTTATGGTTACCTTATTTAGAGCTCTATAATCTATACACAACCTAAGGTTACCATCTTTCTTTTTAATAAATAGGACTGGAGCTCCCCATAAAGAGACACTAGGTCTAATAAATCCTTTTTCAAGTAAATCTTCTATTTGACTTTGAACTTAGCCATCTCGTTCAAGGCTATTCAGTAAGGTGCTTTTGAAATTGGCCCTGTCCTAAACATAATGTTGATTGCAAATTCCACTTCTCTTTCTAGGGGTAAGCCACTTATTTCCTCAAGAAATACTTTTGAAAATTCTTTTACTATTGGTATATCTGTAATAATTTCCTCTAATATTGTTTGAATAGAAAAGACAACCACAAATCCTTGACACCCTTTCTTTAAGTATCTCTTAGCTTATACCATGGTCACAAGATTTAACTTAATCTCAGTACGCGGAACCATTTCACAAGAAGGAAAGACTATGGTTTTATTCTTACAGTCAATAAGGACATGATTTGAAGATAACCAGTTAAGACTAATAATAACATCAATATCATAGAAGGGCATACATATAAGATCTAGTGTGATACAATAATGTTCATACTGAACTATACAATTTAGACACACAGAGGAGGTAATAACATGAACTCTAGTTGGAGTAGATACTTTCAGATTATATAGTAATTTACTTATAAGAAGACCTAACTCCCACTGCAATTATATGATATGAACGAATGTCTTGCACCACAATCAAACATTGCATTAACAATATAATTATTTATCTTAATCATACTTTAAATCATCTCAGGTGATTGGCATGCCTCGTTCTGTGTTAAAGCAAAAACCCTTCCTTGAGTATAGGGTCTAGAGCCTTCTACCTTTTGTTTGGATTCATGAGAATAATGTCATAATGTACCACACCAATAGCAAATATTTTGCCTTACTAAACATGGTCTATCACTATGATTTTTCCTACACTAGTTTGCACTCTTTATGTGCAAAGTTCCTTTGCAAACCAGAAACTCTCTTTTTCCTTGATTTCTTGAATTTCTTTCCTATCCAGGCTTCTTTTCTTTGCTCCTACTAAAGTTTCTTGAATTTACTAAATTTTTATTTCTCCATTTCATATCAACAAAATCATGACTTGAGTGGGTAAAATAAAACAAAGATTATAATACCCTACTCATCAATATCAGTTACCGAATAATAGAGCATGAGAGGGGAAATCTCTATATTTTTTAGTTCCTATCTTAAGAGGGTATTAACTTAGTACCTTGCCATCATTATTTCTACCTCAAAAATAGGCATTCATGAGCTTGGGAGAAAATTTGAATCATGTTTTTCAATTATCTTCTAAGACTCATAAGCCTTAGTCTTGAGTTTCTCAACTTTATTTCCCTAAGCTCCTTTTAAAAACTAAGAATCTCTCAAAACCATCAAATTCAATTGAAAGCTCGAGTTGAGTAGGTCCAGATCTTGGTTTTACATGTAGGATTTGAGCACGAATGGATAGTGTTTAGCTAGGTTTAAGTTTCTCTCTCTAAACTTTTTCAAACTCCATGGAAGTAGAGCTCATTCTCTCTCTCCCTCTCTCTCTCCACTCACTTTGTGCAACAAGGAATGAAGAAAGAAGGATGTGATGTCATTTTATTAACCTTTCTTTGTCAGTTCCAGGTGTTCACAAATTTTAGATCGACCTAGCCATACTCACAGAGCCAAAATGAAAAAGAATAAAATAAAGTAAACCCAACCCATTTCTATTAACAAGTCTTGAATCAGTGGCTCAACTTAGGCTTATATCTTAATATTATAAAGTCTTATAGAAAGAAAGATGGTATTTTCAAAAGTCTATAATATTCTAAATCTTATAATTAATTCTTTTGGGTATTTTCTGATCAATAATATTAAAATAATTTTTTAAAATATTTCTTTCCATCTAATTATAATTTTTCATTATACCCAAAAAAAAAATCCTTATTTGCTAACCCATCACTTACGAATATCCTTATTCAAATGATTGCTCTCAATATTTTCTGAAAATTATTTTTCATATTTGACTAATATTTTTATTTAAATATTATTTTTAAATTCTCCATTAATAAGCATATGAAAAAAATTCCGAACATGACAGCCTGCAATATTAGTTCTTAGTGTCATTGATCAAATTAAATTTACTAATGTCTACTTAACTTTGTTAATTTTATTACTGAGTTGACAAAATTATAATGAGTTAGATACTATATGACCAAAATGACCACTAACTTTTTTATTTGTCTATCTTAGTTGTTAAGTCTTCTTTTTAAATCTTTATCCATTACACGTTTTAAGAACTCTCTAAAAACTCTGATTCAATATTTTGTGTTTTTTTGTTGCCCTCTACTCATTTGTGTTTACCACTTATTAAAATTTTAACAAAATAACACAAGAAATAAGAATTTATCTATACGTTAGCCATCGTTAATTTTTTATGATCATTTTTAAAAATTTAGGATTAACATTATAGATGAAACTTAAAAAATCTTGAGCAATTAAAAAAGGTATAAGAGATATAAAAACATGCTAAAAGTTGAGGATCAATAATTGTATTTTTCGTAATTTTTTTTTATAAACCTGCAAGTTATCTAAAAATTACTTGATTTTTAATTTTAATTCTTAATATTAAACAAACCGCCAAGCGCAAGCAGCCTCCCCTTTCCCTTTGTGGCTAGCCAAAGCATTCTATAGAACACTACAGAAAATCAATAATCATTCAAGCAGCATTTCACCGCGCCGTTCCTCGTCAGACTTCGCCTTGGGCGTTCGAAGTTTCCCTATACGCAGAAAGAAGAGAGATGGTGAGGCTTACTGCCGACCTAATCTGGAAGAGCCCTCATTTCTTCAATGCCATTAAAGAGCGAGAGTTAGATCTGCGAGGTATGCTAATAAACTTTATCCTTGTGCTCGTCTTGATTCCAGTAAAGTGTTGTTCACTCTCTTTCAGAGATGAGTTGCTCGTGGTTACAGTGTGATAACAAGTTTGGTTATGGTTCAGGGAACAAGATAGCTGTAATCGAAATTTGGGCGCTACTGAGGTGTGCAAGTTTAACATCATTCGCTGTCCTTTTACTCTTATCCTGTATGCTTTGGTGTTGGACGTACCTTAAGCCACTTTTATTTTTCTCCTTTTTTAGTAGGAATGTTTATTTATATCTGGATGAGGATAAATTTCGGGATTTCTTTGTATTGACTCTCTCACAGGACCAATTTGATACCATAGACCTCTCTGACAATGAGATTGTCAAGCTGGAAAACTTACCATATCTCAATCGGCTGGGTACCCTACTCATAAATAACAATAGAATTACAAGAATTAATCCTAACATCGGAGGTATTCTTGCTTTGAACTCCATCTCTTATATTTAGCATAATTTTAGTCACCGGCCTTATGTTCTCTGCCAGAAATAATTAAGGTAGTATGTTTTGTAGCTTACTGGGCCACTTGTTTTGCAGAGTTCTTGCCAAAATTACATACGCTGGTTCTTACAAATAACAGGCTTGTCAACTTGGTGGAGATTGATCCTTTAGCATCCCTTCCAAAGCTCCAGCACCTTAGTTTGTTGGATAACAATATTACAAAGAAACCAAATTACAGGCTTTACGTCATTTACAAGCTGAAGTCCCTTCGAGTTTTGGATTTCAAGAAAGTTAAAAATAAAGTAAGGCTTTACGTCTTTTTCCCCCCCTCCGTTTTTCCTTTTTGTTTTTTGTTTTTTGTTTTGGTAAAGCATGGGTTCCAATAAGTTCTCATAATGTATAAATTCTAGAAAATCAGCCTTTTGAACTTGTGACACAGAGCTTACCACTGAGCACTGAGTAGTGTCAAAAGTATATTTTATATTGATGTAGTCTGTAGCATATACTTTGTCTTTCAACTTCAGCCCTTAATTTACTAAAGTTGTGATTGGCTAGTTGACGTGAAATCCAAACCAGAAACTGAGTGCAAACATATTATGCCTTAATATCATTCAAGTGGAGGGAAGGTTTTATTACGTTGGTTGGAAATAGTCATTGTGATATTCATATTGGAGAATCATGTCAGGTTCTTGCATGCAGTTTTAATTCTGAATTATTCCTCATCTGCGATTATCTTGCAATTGTTTAAATTTAACTCATAATTAATAGGAGAGGTTGGAAGCCAAGAACTTGTTTTCTTCCAAAGAAGTAGAAGAAGAAGTTCAAAGGATACCAGCTAAGGTGATTTCACCTGTTGAAACTCCTAATGTCTCTGAAGTTACGCAGGAAGAGCAGACATCCAAAGTGGCTGCACCTACACCGGAGCAGATTATTGCAATTAAGGTATACCAAGATGATTTGGCTATAAGTTTTTGTTTCTTCTTCATATATGAGGTTTTAGCATATTTCTTCTTCTTCTTCTTCTTCTTGAGGCACTTCTATCTGGGCATATGTCTTCTCTAATTCTTTTCCCTTCTCCCCCTTTGTGTGTATTAAATAGCCCTCTAAAACACATAATAGAGGGAGGTGAGGCATGAAAATGGTAGAGCTTTCAATAAATAGTTGAGGGGTAACTAATTAAGATTACTTTAGGTTCTTTTGCTGAAAACTACCGCAGCTGCTGAGGTGTTTAGCAAAAGGGAAAAGATTGCTCATGCTACTTGCATGATTTATGACATTAAAGACATGAATGGTTGACCGTTTGTTTTTAGGATGTCTTAAGCTGGAGCTTTCTTTCATATTTTTCTATTTCCCATTTGCTCTTTAGTCCAAGCCATGGTCATTTGATAGATATTGCTGAGAGTTAGTACTGCAGTTGGGGAAGAAAGGGATTTAACCTTGTTTATTATGAAACGATTTAATGACTTCAACAAGAAATACTCTGCCTTAAAAGCTGTTATTTGGGGTTCCTTAGGTTGACAAGTAATTAGTGTCTGAAGAAAATTGAATTGTACGATAAAGAGGTATGATACAGTGTTAGATGTGGTAAACTAGTGATAACTAAACAAATAAGTATGCTTTTCACTATGAAGATAATAAAAATGAATCATGTTATAATAACAGGTATTAGAAATACCTGTTTTGTCAAAACTGTCTTTTGATGAATTAAGGTACGAAGTTGTTATAAGTAATACTTGTCACTGTAAATCTATTACCAATTTATTTAATTCATATGAAATGCATCCAATTAACTCTCTTTTAAAAGCCTCATGGGAAAGTGTCTTTATAAAGCATTGTAATGTGGGACCAATAGTGCCAGTAAAGATAATTGATGTAGAAGAAACTAGAACCTATAAGATAATATTAATCAATGGGCTAAACTGCCCCTTAAAATTTAAGATAATGTTTCGGAAATTTGAATTTGAGATACTAGATTTAAGGAAAACCCTAACAAGTTGTTAATAATAATAATAATATATATATATATAGTGTATTAAAATTAAATTCTATGATGCCGTATGATAGAGTTGGAAAATTTATTAAAACATATGAGAAGAAATTGAGGGGGAGACAAGGGTCAGAGAGGAAAGATCCAGCAGTTTAAGGTTATTGTACTAAGGGTCCTGATAATGGGAAGTAAGTAATGATGCTTGTAGAGTGGCTATAGACTCAGCGTAGAAGCTAGAGTTACTTTTGGGTTGCTTTAATATTTTACTTTGTTTTGGGAGGGACTCATTCAGAATGTTTTAGGGTGAAGACACAAGTGAGGAGAGTCTTGGTCTCTCGAAAACCAGCAAGGGGCTGTTTCAGCATTGTGTTCTTGTATTCTTAATACTGATTAGGGAATAGGGTTTTGGCCAGAATCAGAAAAAGTCATTTTGTAACACTGATTTGGTTATTCAGTCATTAATAGCAAAACCTCAGCATTTCCCTCATTAATTGCTTGTTTTATAGTTTTCTGTTGTTGTGCATTTAATTTTTGGGTTGGGTTCTATCACCGTAAAAGATGACTTTTTCACTGAACAGAAATAGGATTTTATAGATAGGATTCTGCTGAGATACTAGGAATAATAAAGACCAAAAAGAAATCAGAATCAGATATGAACAGAAAAAGAAAATTAGCAGCAGATAGGGAATAAGATACCTAAGCACTAAAACCAGAGTTTTGGGCCCAAAAGTCCAATAGGATGTGGTGCACTAACACAACCACTCAAGCTGGCAAATAGATATCCGTCATTCCTAGCTTGCATATGAAGTTTTCCAAATTTGTCCCAGCCTAATGGTTTTGTGAGGAGTGAGGACATTAGCAACTTGAGAGTTAGAACACATGTTGGCTAGGTCTGTTGCCTTTGATTCCATTTTCTCCTTGATGAAATGCCTATTAATATTCACATGTTTAGCTTGGTCGTGATGAATAGAATTCTAGACCATTTGGAAAGCAGCCATACTATCACACCACACTTTGATGGGTGAAGTAACTTCAATCTTCAACTCTTTCAACACTCGTATGAACCACATTCCTTCACATATTCCATGTGCCTGGGCTCTAAGCTTTGATTCTGCCCTAGTTCTAGACACTACGGTTTACTTCCTGCTTTTCCATGTCACTAAATTTCCCCACACAAAGGTGAAATAACCAGAGTTTGATCTTCAATCAGCAAGAGATCTTCCATAGTCTACATTAGTGTATACCACTACTTCTCTAGAGTCTCCTTTTGCAAAGAAGAGTCCTCTTCCAGGTGTCATTTTTGAATATCTTTGAATTGTATGTTTTGCTTCCATGTGCTTCTCTTGTGGTTGTGTTGCAAATTGACTAGCTACACCCATTGAATAGCTTATATTAGGTCTTGTATGGGATAGGTAGATGAGTTTTCCAACAAGCCTCTTGTATCTCTCAGCGTCTAATAGGACCCTGTCCTGCACCTGTGCTAGATAAATGGAAGAATCCATACTAGTTGTTGATGGTCTATACTCTATCTCCGAACATTTCTGTTTCTTCAAGTAAATTTACTTTTCCTATGGGCGATTGAAATGCGCTTTTTTGATCTAGCAATTTTCATCCCAAGAAAGTTTATTAGGTGGCACTTGGTGCCATGACGTTTGTAGCCCCAACAAACTTGGTTTATTGGCTGTCAGCACCCTCTGATCACCTTGACCTTTAGTGTTCAGGCCAAACTTGAACTTTGTAATGGTTGCTTTGATACCGTGACGAATTCTGTGATGTTGTGAAACATGATTTATTCACTGATTAGCTTTAGGTTTTATATATACAAACTCTCAATCATATTGAGAGGATTCTGCTGAGATACTAGGAATAATAAAAATCCAATAGAAATCAAAATCAGATCTGAACAGAAAAGGAAAATCAGTGACAAAAAGGGAATAAGAAACCTAGGTAAACAAATTAGGGGTTAGGGCCCAAAAGCCCAATTGTGCGGCACTCCTCTGTTTTAAGGTGTAACTCTTGCCAGAGAGCAATGACTTCTAACCAATAGTCAGTTACATCTAGGGTTCCCTGTTTCAATTGCCAAATCTTGGTTCTGAATCACGAACAGCCTCTGACATGTCCTGTGTAGTAGGTAAATACATAAAGCTGTGTTTAATCTAAGGGGACATTGCGTTGATGAGCAAAGACGTCCAATAATTTTTCAAGTGATTAAACTAAGCTTGTTGTCAAATCTCAACTATACAATATAATAATACATGACAAAGGCTTTCAATGTACCTGCATATGAGACTTTGAAGAATCCTTTTTTTTTTTGTTTGTTAAAAAAATAATAATTTTAACTTATGTTAGACATTTAAACTCCCCATTTGATTGGCCCTCTTTGTGAGCTATAGAACTTCCATCTCTTTATTATGGTTTTGTCTCAAGTTGCTGATTTTTGCTAAATGCGGTTTCTTGTGCTTCTCTTGTATGCAGGCTGCCATTGTGAATTCACAAACGCTTGAAGAGGTTGCAAGACTTGAAAAGGTGCTTGCTTTTCTAGATCATTTTTATGTAAATACAGAATCTTACGTAATGAATTTTATTCTTATAGTTGTTCTTGAGATGTACATTACCACATTAACATGAAAATAGAATGATTGCTAAAAACCTATTTCAAGTGAGATGATCTTGCAGGTGCTCTCCCATAATAGTTGCATCATACATTCATAATGAAAATTTCCAGGCAAATTCAATATATATATATATATATATATTTTCATTCTCAACGGGTGTAGCACAAATAGAAAACTAGGCTTGACTGGAGGCTGTCAGTCCCTAGTATTTGCCTAGAATCAAGGAACTAATTGAAGGAAAATAAAGATGAGATAACGTGGTAAATGATAAGATAACAGCAACCCAAAAAAAAAAAAAAAGCTGGATCATGAGAATTAAAAAGAATCAGCTGGGATATGTACAGAAAGAGAGGGAGAATAAAATTTGATTTACATGAACCTCTTATTTATTATGAGAATGCAAGACCATGTATGTATTTATGATGAATAGTTAGATAAATAATCTCCAAAATTATTTACAGCAAATCACAATCAATCTTAATTATTTACAATCAAATCATAATCAAGTCATATTAAAATCAAGAATCAACACACATGTTGGAATGGGTTGATCCTGATACCCATTTATGGGTCAACTTTGTTTCTCTATTTTTATTATTCTTTAGTTAGTTTTTATACTGTTATGTTTTTACCCAAATCTTTGGATTACTAGCTTTCTACCTTTCTCCTTCATAGGCAATTAAAGGGCATTTGGTGTGAACTTTGTCACACCTCTAGGTGTGGGCAATCTTCCATAGAGGTGGGAAATAGGGATGGCCCTTGAAATGGCAGGCCTTAAAAGGGCTGGGCTTGAAAAGCCTGAGATTATATTAGGGCTAGTATTCTTCTGACCAGTGATGATTACACATAAACTCATTGGAACAAAAAATTTGTGGTGGATCCAAAAGATCTCCTTGTTCATGTGGAAAGGGAATGGAAAAGTACATTATAGGAGTAGCTTAACTAGCTGCAATCTAAGATCTGAGATCGGGAAAATGACATTTAATGACCTTCTATGAACATTAATGATAGTAAAGGACCTTGAAATTTGGAAATGAAAAAAAAAAAAAATTAGAAAGAAAGAAAGACCATGGTCCTTGGCTGGAATCAAAATTTTTCAACACTCATCTTCCATATTCTTAGTATTTATTTTCCATATTTTCAATATTCATCTTTAGCATTTTCAATAATCAAGTTTTCAATATTTTCAATAATCATCTTAGATGTTTTCAATAGACATCTTTTGTGTTTTCAACACTTATTTTTGATATTGAAAACATGGTAGATAAGTACTGAAAACATCTTAGATGACTACCGCAAAAATTGGAAAATTGAGTATTGAAAATATGGAAGATTAGTGCTTAAAAAATAATTCAAGAACATTTTAATTCTAGCCAAGGACCATTAATACACGGGAATTAGGAGTAATATGGATAATTAGGGGAATTAGAGATATAGTGGTAGCTTGGGTATTTGGTTATATTCTCTATAAATAGGGTCTTGAGGATGTAATGGGTTGGCATGAAGCAGTGAATGATATTTTTATTTTCTCTCTCTATTTCTCTCCTGCTTCTAGCAAAGGTATGAGAGCCTTCTCTCTAGCCATGGCTCTACTGAAGAGCCAATCCAATGAATGCATTGGTACCCTCAACCATCGTTAGAGCTGCAATCGACTTTGCTTCATTGCAACAGTAGATATTGTGATAGAGTTTTGAGATAATGGGTTATCTGGGAAGATATTTAGTATGAATAAATATTATTTTTAATTTATTTTAGATATTTTCTATTTATTAATATTGTTTAGATTTTATTTAGGTATTTAGTTATCTAGATTTTATATAGATATTTAGATATTTGTTTAGATATTTATATATTTATCCAGATATCTAGTTACTTAGATTTTATTTAGATATTTTGGTTCTTTAGATTTTATTTAGTATTTTATATAGATATAGATTTTAGGAGATTTTATTCATTATTTTAGATTGTATTTAGCATTACAAATATGCTTAGCAACTCAGAAGTGGGCATATCATGAATAAAACAAACTTTTGAGACTTTTGGCCCTTTGGAAATTCTCCTAAGCGTGGTTATTAAGAGAAGTATAGAATGATATTCTTGTTTTATATCATTTTGATAGATTTATTTCTTCTATTTACTTCTATTAGTTCTATGTCTTCTTATTAATATTATGAAGTTAGATTCTGATTTCATATGTTAATAGAGATTTATGTTCCTTATTTCTCTCTACCTATCTTGGAACCTATCATTTGGTATTAGAGCCGTTCGATCCAAAGATGATACCTACTTATTCCAGACGCTTTTTTCACAAACCCACATTTTTACTACCCATCCCATCCTATTATCATCCATCTTCTAGAGCACATTTTCCCAAGTATAATGGTGGAGATCCACAACCATGGATTTTAGAGGCAGAAAATTATTTCGATATTATCATACTTCTGAAGACTTCAAAGTGGATATTGCATTGAGGCATTTAGAGGGAGATACTCATGATTTCTTCACTTCTATTAACATGGAACGTACAATCCTCTATTAGGAGGAATTAGTGAAGGTGTTACTAGAAAATCATGGGCCTCTAGAATATCAAAACCCATATGCGTTCTTATGTAGCATCAAGCAAACTGGTTCTGTGCAGGAGTATCATTTGGAATTTGCTAGGTGCTCTGCTTGTGTGAAGAATTGGCTGGAACATTGCCTCTTGGGAGTCTTCATCAAAGGCCTCAAGGAGAAAGCTCAAATCTGATGCTCGGATTCATAAACCTAAGACAGTTTACCGGGCTGTTAATTTGGCTCTTGAATATGAGTTAAAAGCCCGAAACTCTTATGGGCTCAAAATTGCCCAGCGGAACCAAACTAAGCCTTTGTTTCCTTCAGTCCCTTATCAAACAGCACATGACTTCAAAGAGACATCAGCATTGACTTCAAACTCCCTTCGACTAGAAACTTCAACCTCGTTTCCTCACAAGCCACTATCTAGAATGGCTTCCATGGAAGCCAAACAGCAGCAACAACAAGAGATGGGACTGTGTTTTAGGTGTGGTGAGACTATCAAACTTGGGCATCACTGGAAGGGATCTTTTTTGTCACTGGAAATTACAGAGGAGGGCAAAGAAATTGTTCCTTCCCTTGAAGAGGACAAAACCATGGAGATGGAACCTAGCGAGGTTGAAATGTCCCTCAATGCTATTCTGGATAGCAACAACATATCTACAATGAAGCTTCAAAGGAGCTTCTTTGAATGCCAAGTCCTTAACTTGGTGGACAGTAGGTCTAAATGCATCCTTGAAGTTCCCATGCAGCCTCTTGTTTGACCTTTTGGAATCCAGATTGGAGATGTTGCTATTTATCTATTACTCTCATCTCAACCTCCACATACACAAGAAAGCTATTGCCTATGTCTTGCCTTGAGGACAAGGTGAATTTTCAAGGGGGGAGTATTGATAGATTTTCGAGATAATGGGTGATCTGGGAAGATAGATATTATGAATAAATATTATTTTTAGTTTATTTTAGATATTTTCTATTTAACAATATTGTTTAGATTTTATTTAGGTATTTAGTTATCTAGATTTTATATAGATATTTAGATATTTATTTAGATATCTATATATTTATCCAGAAATTTAGTTATTTAGATTTTATTTAGATATTTAATTCTTTAGATTTTATTTAGCATTTTATATAGATATAGATTTTAGGAGATTTTATTCAATTTTATTTAATTATCTAGTTATCTACATTTTATTCATTATTTTAGATTGTATTTAGCATTATAAATATGCTTAGCAACTTAGAAGCAGGCATATCATGAATAAAACAAACTTGAGACTTTTGGCCTTTTGGAGATTCTTCCAAGTGTGGTTATTGAGAGAAATATAAAATGAGATTCTTGTTTTATATCATCTTGATATATTTATTTCTTCTATTTACTTCTATCAATTCTATGTTCTCTTATTAATATTATGAAGTTAGATTCTTATTTCATATGTTAATAGAGATTTATATTCCTTATTTCTCTCTACCTATCTTGGTATCTATCACATTGGACCAGCACACTCATGACTTTATTGAGATTAAGCAAACCATGTCTCAACTTTCCAAATAGATGAACTCACTCTTGCCTTGGTTTTGTGGTTGCCAACCAATGTCTGCACCTTCCTATGGTCGCTATAAGTGAGCCATTTAACATGCCACCACGTAAACCTCCTCCTTTGACGGTTTACGACTTCTGCCTCTACTACAACTATTCCTCCTTAGCCTTTAGTCACTAAAAAAATGATCCTCATAGCAGTCAGAGTTAGGAATAACTGAAACATGTTTCAACTGTGAACAATTTCATGCTGTAATTTGAAGAAATCTTACTGTATGCATGCCTTCGACATTCCATTACCATCAAGGTCTTCATCAACGAACTTAAGCTAGAACTTGAAAGATTTCTTTGAGGCTTCAATCCTGGTAGTGCAGTATATATTGTGTATCTCTAGGGGAAGTATGGCCAGAAGGGGATGCAAGACATGAAGAATGATGGTACAATAGATATAACTAACTTGAATAATGACAGGATCAGTAATAGCATAGTAACATTGACACAAAAACAATGGCAGAAATGAACGACATTGACAAAGATGAAGAAAAAATGAGAATTATGAGGAGATTGGAGCGAATCAAGATCTAGGGATTATAGAAGTGATGCCAAAACAAAGTTGCTGGATTGACTATGAAGAGGAAGTCAATGCGATGCTCAACACATTGAAGCTTGATGAGACCTCCAATATTAGTGACAATGGCTTAGGATCTTTCACGGCCATTGAAGCACAAGAAACACAACTTTCCTTGCTTGATTTTCACTGTTGTTGCTATTACTCCAAGCATTGGCCACGACATTTTTGCAAGATGATAGTGGCCCAAACATATTCTCAAAAATTTATCCCTCAATAGCATTTCTCCTCTACGATGTGTCTTCAATTTCATGCGTCTTCCATCCACAAATCTCATCAATGAAGGCTTCCTCTATCTACAACAGCCTCTTAGTGTTTCATCCATCTTAGCACTTTGTTCAAAAAGCTTCCATTCATTGAGGAAAGAACGGGATGCACCAAACTCTTGGAATACCTTCATACCACTTGCTGAAGATGATTGCTCCATCTGCTTGCCAAAGGATTTCTGACCGTAAAGATAAAAGCAGAATAATAATGGAGGAATGCAAAGGATAACCTAGAGGTGAATCGGGTTGGGGAAACTTCATTTTTGGAGGCATCAAGTTGAGTGGTGTTAGCAAATATATAGCGGGTTTTCGGTTTTTGTTGGAGGTTGTTGAATTTTCTCTAATGGTGCAGACATGCTTCTACAACAGCAAGGTTTGCTCCAAGGGTCAATGGGTTTTGCGTCTCTAGCATTATGCAAGACCAAGTGTTCCTTAAGTGTGATTCCTGTGCTAATCATCAGAACTATATTGGACATGGGCTTATTAAAAGTGCTACTAGCCCTTATTTGGATGAGATTTGGGCTTCTCATGTTATGAGCCCTAAAGCCTTTGGATGGAAGTGGGGAATGAAATTGGAGCTGTTGGATGTATAATGCCTTGAGTTTCAACAATGGGTGCCATGTGGGTCCTCATGGATTTCCATAATGGGCTTTTGGATTGAAGGACTATTGTAGAAAGTCTAGGCTTTTGATGTCCATTAATTTTGTTTTCAATTTTTTTAACCAAGCTGTAGTAACTTTTGGTCTAGTTTATAGGGAGGAAAAAAGTCTTTTTTAGATATATGTTTTACTTTTTGCTTTTGTATTGATCCTTGAGGACAACAATCTCTTATTAGGGGGAGTATTGATACATGGGAATTAGGAATAATTGGGACAATTTGGGGAATTAGGGATATAAGGATAGTTTGGGTATTTGGTTATATTCTCTATAAATAGGGTCCTAAGGATGTAATGCGTTGGAGTGAGTATTTCTATTTTCTCTCTATTTCTCTTCTACCCCTATCAAACATGGTTTTTTGGGGGAAATTTCTAAATTTTAAGATTTGCAAGTGTTATTGATGTTCTTAGAGGATCCTTACATGTCGTTTTCCCTCTGAGATATGATACTTGGGTTATTGAAAACAATATGGTAATGTCTTGGTGAATTCTATCACTTGGACATCAATGAAGGTTATTTGTTGGCCACCATTGCACAAGAGATCTAGGACCAAGTCAACCTTCTAGTGATGGAAAATATTGCTGCTTTTTCCAAGTAAAAAGGATGCTTGAAAGCATGGATACAAAAGCGTTACTTATTATTGCAGCACCTTTGTGAAACTTTGGCAACAAGTAGACTTATATGTAGATTTAACTTAGATTTTCCTCAAGAGGCAGGCTTGTTGCCTCAATTAGGTGTATATAAACACCAATTACCATAAATAAAAATAAGGTCAAAGAATATTTTCCTCTATCATCTTTCAACACCATATATGAAACGAAGCTAATGGCAAGGTACTGGGTTGCTTGGTATTGCCAGAAAGCTCTATGGTCATATCCTGATTCGGTGATTTAGGAGGAATTATCACCTTGAGAGGCATCAATATTCTCACTTTAAAGTATATTGGTTGTTTTTTGGCGACCAGCTAAGGAATAGCACTTGTCTTGGGCATGACCAAGCTTATTGCAATAGGTGCAATGAGGGCACTATCTACAATTTCTAGTGGTGGGTCCACTTAGGTTATGATTCTTGTGATCCTTATGCTTTTATCAAGTGGTTGTCCTCCTCTAGCTACGAGTGCTAAAGCATCTTATTGTGATACATGAGCCTGCACCAACTGCTTTCTACTCTCTTCACATTTAACCATATTAAATGCACTCCTCAAAAGTGCAAGAGGGTTCATACCCATGATCCCTCCTCTGACATCTTAAATATATCCTTTGGTCCAACAAAAATTCATATGCTCCTAAATACTATAGATGTTCCTCATGATTCATGCTTGATTTCTATGCCTCCCTTGGCTCCACTCCTTTTTCTAAATGATGATTTCCCTATTACTTCTTCAAAAGGTACTTGTGCTACTTGTATAGCCCATCTCATTTTCAATTTTGTAAGTTACCGTCATCTTTCATCATCTGGTTATGCCTTTGTTTCTTGTTAGCCCTATATATCTATTCCACATGTCACCTTGGGTGGAGACGAGCTTGATTGATGAAATAAAATCCATCCAATCCTATGGCACTTGGGAACTTCTCCATCTACCTTCTGGAAAATTTGTGGTTGGTTGTCAATGGGTTTACACTGTTAAGATTGGTCCTGATAGAAATATTGATCATTTCAAAGCATGGCTTGTTGCCAAAGGTTACATATAGATTTTTGGCTTAGATTATGGTGATACCTTTTCTCCCATGGCTAAAATTGCCATCATCTGTGTTATAATCTATTGCTGCTATTAAAACATTGGCCTCTCTACCAACTTGATATTAAAAATGTGTCCCTTCATGGTAACCTTGAAGAAGAAGTCGAATTAGTGTGCAAGTTAAATTGCTTTATTTATGGATTTAAACAGTCTTCAAGAGCTTGGTTTGGACATTTTAGCAGTATTGTGCAGCAATTTGGCTTAACTAGTAGTGAAGCTGAGGGGGAGTGTTGACTAATGTTAATTTAGTTGATAATTGATCTCCTTTTATAATTATTGTAAGGTGGTAGTTGAGTGTATTTATTACTCCACGTGGCGGTTGGCTATAAATGGCCTTGTATATTTGGTTTCTGTTTCAAGAATACAAAATGCTTTTCTTCTCTAGTTACATTCTCACTAGCCTCTTATTCTCATCAGATTTTACACACTTCATCAAATGCACATGTTGTGATGTATTGATCAAAGCATTGCTGAGAATCAGGTTTGAGAAATTGAACTGCAAGCTGAGAATGATAAACACCTGTTCTCCAACTTGAGGGGAGTGTTGGAATTGGCTGAGCCCAATACCCATTTACTGGATCAACTCTTTATTTCTGTTTCTATTATTATTTGCTCAGTTCTTTACACTGTTCTGTTTTTACCCATATCTTTTTTGTTTTTTGATTGTATCGGATAATTGGGTATCTTCTACTTTCAATCTTTAGCATGATTTTCAGGAGAATAGTCTTCCTGTCACTATTGACCCAGTCCTATTTAAATTGTACTGTTTGCATGAATGAAATGGAAAACTGGTTCTGAAGATTTCACAATATATATCGACCCATGTCATGGATTCTTAAGATATCTTATCCTATAACCTAGAAGTCCTCCAGTCTTCATCAATGGGAGTTTTTTACATATTATAATATGAAAGTGATAGGTACCAAGTTAGTAGACATAACAGGATTTGTGTCTGCAGGCACTAAAGTCGGGTCAGCTTCCAGAAGATTTCAGAAGCTTGGATGAAAATGTAATATCAAATAATGTTGAAGAAAAGCAAGATGGACCTAACGGTACAGAAGAGCAGGGGAATGCTGATTCTGCTCCCATGGAACAGGTATCAATATATTAAGTTCCACCTAACATACATAGTCAGTTGTGTCATTTTTCTTCTTATGATCTTTTTAGTGCATAGCTTATATCATTCATCTTTTACTTTCGCCAATCTAAATATCATTCATATAGTTGAATGTATTTAACTTATTCGAAGAGAGAGATGGGAAAAAGGCAATGAGTGTAGAGATGGGATACGAATCTCACACAGCTGCGACTCATTTGTGTCACGTTCTAGGTGCTTAAATGTAAGAATATAAAATGATCCAGTTTTGAAACTTCAGAACTTCCTGTTTACGTCAAGAGAGTTTGAACCCTTGATTTCTATCCACATTTCACCCTACTCTTACCACCTTTGGTAACCCTTGGTAGTAGAACTTCTCTTCTGTACAATTATGGCAAATCAGTGTATACTCTAGATACATAACTCCTAAAGCCTTCTATGTTGCAATTGCAACTTGCCAGAACTTTTTCTGGACCCTTATCTACTGCCGCACAGGATAGAACTATTTCAGCTTCTCCAAAAGTGGTCATGGGTTTGATGTAAACTTGTTAGTACGAGATACCAAGTCTCACATTGAGTAGCATGGGATGCTTAATAGGATATTTAAGTGGAACTTCAACAACTGACTTTTAAGATAGGGTTCCCTATCCCATTTAGGTATCTATCACTTGGTATTAGAGCCAGGTTTTTGGTGGTTCTTGAAAGGGCTACCCATGAAAGGTTTTAACTGGCAGATGATTGAGTTAGTTGCCATGGAGTGTGGCTGCTACGATGTCGGCTTTCCATGAGGGACCAATTGATAGAAATTTTACTCAATACATTACCATTCATGTGATTATTTTTATTAAATTTGCGTGGAGAATACCACATTAAATGGTTGTTGAGCAAATAGCATGGGGAGTTGAGTGACACTTTATGCCATAGGAGTTTGAATGGGTTTTGGACCAAACTACAAGGCATAATTCAGAGTACCCTGGAGAGTGCTTGTCTGTTTGCATTTGGATTGCACATGCCGTGACCCTGGTCTATTATAGTGTAACCTGTAAATTGATAAAAAGTAAAACCTTGAAACTTAGCATTTCCGGCACAATTTTGTTGCTGCACTTGTCACACACCCTGTGATTATGTTTGTTGAGTCGTCCTCATTAAATTTCAGAGGTGAACTTTACAAATTGTTGATGGTTTGCATAGTTCCAATTTTACTAGTCTTTCCTTGCGGCAATAGTTTAGCATCTAATTTGACCATATCTCTGGGAAAATTTTAAAGCACAAAAGGGAAGTTGAGGTTGAAAACTAACTCTTCATTTTAGGTAGATGCCCCCACCACCCCCCCCCCCCAAAAAAAAAAGAACCTGATTTAAGGTGTGTAAAATAACTTCATTATGGGCCCCATACTCTGCAAGAAATTTGAGGTGAATTGTGCACTTTTCATGGCTCATTAACATTGTGACTTTTTATAAATTTTATACTATATTATTGAAAATGATACATTGATTATTGTAAGTTAATTTATTAAACAAACATATTCAAACATGCCCCAAATTTCCAACAATAATGATCCCATATTTCTTCTGAGAAAATTTAAGTGCCAAGAAACATGGGAACCACCCTGTTGGCAAACAAATATGATGAGCGAATGGAGTAACAGATGGTACAAAGTTGGTGTACAGACAGGAACTATTTTTTGAGCCTCCTTGTTAGGAGCAAATGATTTCTCGCTGGAGCGGACATATTGATTGTCATGATTCAAATGTCATTCGTTGAGGGCTTGTGTTTCTTGCACGAGATGGAGATATTTTCTGAAGGGATCAAATGAGAATTGACCAAAGACCCTTTGTGTCAATGAAGCTTGACGTCAAAGGAACCAATCCTAATTGACGTGTGAACTTAAGCTTTAGCTTAAATGTAGAACAACGAAAATTTCTTAGTATTACTCCAGTTTTATACTAATTTTGATCTGTTCCGATATCAAAAAATTATGTTGACAAATGTTTGTCCTATACATGGTTCACTTTGCCAGTACCCTAGCAGATTGTGTTTCAATTTCCACATCACTCCCCCACCCTCCCCTTTTTTAGGGTTAAGGGTTATATTTTGCCTTTTAACTTTATCTGAAGGGTCACTGGGCACTCTAATCTTAACTATGGGTTAATTCTGTCTTTCAACGTTAAAGATTTTTTCTATCATCACCCTATCATTAAAAATGCCTAATGTACATTTGTCATTAGTGAGTCCCACTGTTTTTAATATTTTTTTATTGGATTAAGAGTTATTTTTGCTTCTCAACTTTTACCCAAAGGGTCAATAGGCATCTTTAAGTCAAATATTTTATAATAAAAAATATTAAAAATGTAATGTGGGGCTCACTAGTGGTGAAGAGATAGTAAGAAAATAGTAGTGATAAAAAAGGAAATATTTAATGTTAAGAGACAGAATTGACTCATAGTTGAGTTTGGGGCAAAAATGATCTTCAACCCTTTTTTTTTTTTTTTTAAACTACCTTCTTCTATTTTGTGCTAGTAAATATGGCAATTGGTGTTTACAATATTCTCATTGTTCTTTTGGCAGGATTAGAGTGGAGATTTTGGAATGCTTTGAAAATCATGAGCCCCTCTAATGCTGGGCTCTAGAATCAGCATCATGGTTACCTTCATAAAGTAGACTGGTCGACTGTCCAAATCCTCTGTCATGTTTATGGTATTTAGGGTCTTCTCTTTCTTGATGAGTAAGGAACATGATATCTCAATTCCTATGTATGGCTGAATTAGGTATATTGCAATCTCTGTACGTGACTTAATGAATCATCCGGTCAGTTATTGCCTTTAATTTGCAGGTTCAAAGACATGATTTTGGTCCCCCAAAAAAATGATAAGATTAGTGATGTCATTACTCATTCCTTCGCAGTGAAACGGTTATGCATATGCTAGTATTTAAAAAAGAGAGAAAGAAAAAGGCATTGCTATAGATTTGATTGTAGCAATGATAGTTAAAAATGAATAATTTTATGTAATATATTGAAAAATTAATGTTCTTATATTCGTCTTCCAAGCGTGGCAATTATACGTCATTCCGTCTTGCTGAAATGTTTATGCATATGCTTGTACAAACAAAAGAGAAAATTGCATCATCATGGTAGCTGTTTCGGTGCCTGATTCTTGCCTGAAAATCGCTTTTGTTCAGTTCTATAGGTTTTGGCGGCCTTATTTTAAAACTTTATTTCGGTCTAGCTTTTGATCGAAGTGTTGCAATGCATTTCTTCATTGCAATTATCATGGACGTGGTTCTTCTCAGCCAGATCATTTTCAGCTAACGTACAATAAATTTCAAATAAATCGACTATGGAACCAACAATAACTTGTAAATGAGATATCTAGTGTGCCCACGAAAAAAAAAAATATGTAAACCAAATCCTAGATGCTGGAGGGAGGAGGGCAAGCGAATAGTGGCTAAACAGGCACACAAAAGCAGATATATGAGAATGAGAGAATGTTAGTGGAGAAACCCATCTTAGAAGGAGGATGTGTTTGTAATTTTCAATCCATTTTTCACTTCTCAAGGTCAAGGGATAAAAAATTAGCTTTACTATGGCTTATGCTGAGAGCAAGTCGTGGATGAGTTTAAGTTGCTTCAAATTTTGGCATTCTTAGTACAGGAGGCCAAAGATCATGAAGTAATTAAACTCTGCACTAGATTGAATCTATCCAAAGATTCTAAAATATGACCCTACTCTTTCTATCCCTATATATAGAGATGTCATAATATTTTTAAATAATTAAACAATTTTACTTTTGTCTCAAAAAAAAGCATAAGATATTACTTTTGTGAATTACCTACAACCTCTATAATATTGTGACATTATTAGGGACAATGTTGAAAAATTATTATGATTTCAATTAAATAATAAATTTTTATTAATATGCGAAATTTAATAAAAAAACATCATATAGAAGGACGGAAAGAGTACTAAGCAATGGTCAAGTCTGTTAGAAGTGGTCAAAATATGGTAAACAGTTGGATAATAGAGTAATAAATCAATTTATAGCTTGGCTGGAAGCCTTCAACTTACCCACTTTCATCTCATCCAAAATTGGTGTAAATTGCAAGAGAATAGATGGGAGGACTCCTCTAGTGAGAGAAATTGCGGCTTCTTCTTTGATCACTTGCCCTTCGGTTTTCTTGCTTCTCCTGCCTTTTCCATAATCATTCTTTGGAAATTCTCTTGTACCTTCTACTAAACAATATTTTGCGAATCGTTTCCAGTGCTACTGATTGGCTTCTACATTTGGTTCATGTCTCATCTACAATACATTCGTCTGTTGGATCGAAAGGGATGTGCTTTGATGATATTTTTGGGTATTATTACTGTCTGTCGCCATTTCATTTTCCCATTTCCAAAGGCTTTTCTACTCTTTTTCTCTATCCCTTCACCGTCTACTTTCTCCTCTGCTCTTTCTTCAGCTTGTTTATCGTGGTTATCAAAACACAACTTCTCAGTGTTTCCTCCTTTTCTCATCTTTTGACCACCTTTTTGGTCATGCTTTTTTTAATCTAGCTTTCTCTGCACCTCTCTGGTTATGGATTCCAACTTCTCTTCCTGTTCCTGTCATGTCATCAACCAGGAGCTGAAAATTTCTACTTAAACAAGAAATATTGGGAAAAATGTCTTCCTAATTGTATGCCCCTAATTCCACATTTTGTTGTGTTGTTGTTGATGAGTCTATTATGCATAATGATGGCATTGTTATTGACACCCTGGAAGATAATGTGCATATGTCTTGCTTTAGTTGTTATGATGGAAATATTTGTGATGCATGTTGTGGAGATGGTCAATCTTTGCATTCGTTTGATTCCACTATTGATTTTGATTCTAATGTTGCATCCATGGTTATTGATGATCATGTAGATAACATAGCTTGTGTTGATTTTTCCTTGTGCACCAATGTATAGATTGAGTGTGGGGGGATGACACGGTTGAATTTGATTATGACACATATGAGCATGCACCCTCTATGTTTCCATAGATGATAGAGATAACGTATTGGCTGCAACATGTTCTTGCACTTGTGTTGGTAGTGAAATGTGCTCGAATTGTGTCGACTCTTTATTGAGTGACTTAGATTCGTACTCACATGTGCAACATAGTAATTATAATATGGAAGATTGTATTATGTTGTTTGATTGTATTGGGTGTAGGGATGAATTTTCCAAACAAATATTTTCTTGTGATTTGTTACCGGATATATCAGAAAAGGAAAGTGCTTGTGTTGAATCATCTAATGCATTTTGGCTCTCACTGTTTGGAGCCTGATTGATTTCATTGGTTTATTCTACATATTTAGAGGTTCCAGTATTTTATTTGTATAAACATCATCTTAGGCCTTCTAGTATAATCATTGATTCTATTAAGTACATTGATTGTTGTCATCTTTTGTCCTTTGGAAGAGATTCTGCTTTTGGTTCCATGGCTTTTATGCAAAGCTATCACTTTGGAGGATCATTAAGCAACCAACTTGCATTCTACATGCTTCAGCCCCTTCTAATTGATCTCAAACCACCTCCCAAAGAGGCAAAAGAAGAGTTTAGCGAGAGAACAACCTTGAGTAGTTTCATACTACTCATGAAAGATGAGAATTTTAATTTTAAGTTCTTGTGGAGATTCAAATAAAATTGTATTTGTTTCAACCTTAACTTTTACTCTTTTTATTTTTCTTTTGAGTGATTGATTGAGTAAATTGTAAGTGTGGGGACTTTTGTAATGTTCTACTTTACAATTTATAAAAATTTAACTCTATTATAATGGAAAGGTATTTATCATAATAATTAAATTGTAACTAATCCATTTGAAATACTACCATGATAAAAAAAATAAAAATAAAATTATTAACCTAGGCCCAAAACTCAGTCCTAGACCCAATCTCTCATACACGCCCAATTAAAGTGTAACAAATCCATTTGCCACATTTAGGTCTCAAACACCTCCCCCCCAACATTCAATCCTATGCTAAATTACTCATATGATCACAAGTCTAATAAATTTATTAACCTTAATTAGCCTTAACCTAATTTAAATTCCCAAGTCAATTCCAAAACAAAAACTCGAATGTTAGAACTTCCATTAGAAACGTATAAAATTTTAGGTCTTTGTAGTTTTTCTTTTCATTTTGAAAATGAGAAGGAAAAAACTTGTTTATTATTATTATTATTATTATTTTCACTGTGGCCACCCCTGCTGGCAGCATCATAAAAATTCTAGATAGTACTGAGGCCATGGAGGCTGCCATGGCGCCCTTAACTGATGGCAATTCAACACAAATTGTAGAAGAAGCTGGCACCATCGCCGTGGCGGTGAAAAAGAAAAAACTTTCTGCAGGCTACCCATTCATGGCCATGACTTGGGCTATGTCAACAAAAAATTAAAAAAAAAATACTTTCTTTTGCTTAACTTTTTCATTACTTCTTTCTTGATTTCTTTCACATTTATCTTTAGTATAAACTTGCATTAGAGATAATGCAATGACTAAGTGTGAGGGATTTAAAAATATTTTATTTTGTTTTTCTAAAAAAATTTATAAAAATTTTATTTTGTTTTCTATTTGATTAGAAGTTGCATTACTTTGACCTAGAGTCTTGATACTTGACATGAGTTGCTTGATTGCATTATGTTTAAAGAAATGATCTTGTTCTTAGCTTGTGTGAATTGAATTGGATAGCATGGCCTATGTTGGAAGGTCGTTATTTGTGTCTTTTTTGATTCCTATTTAGTATGTATTAATCCACTTATTCTAGTTCATTCTTTAGAATTTGTCTTTATTATTTTTCTTTTTCAATACTACATTTGTATTTGTATTATGAAAATGATTAAGGTGTTCATTAAAAATAACTACTTATCCAAAAGGCCAACCTTAATGTAATTTTGTCTTTTGATAACCCTTTTGAGCCCACCAGTCTCTATTTTCATTTCATTCATGCTTCATACATTCGCCTTTTCAAGAATGCATGTTACTTTTCAACATTTGTTGCCTTGGGATACATTAGCATATCTTGGAATTTATTGGTCGAAAGTAGTCTAACTGATCATCTAGACATGGTTAGAATTTCTTGTCATCTATCCTAGGACCCTACCAACATATAGCACTTTAATTCTTAACTAAGCAATCGACCGATGTGTAGCCAAACCTTAGAATGAGAATGACACCTATGACAACCCCAAACAACCTCAAATTTAGGTGAATCCAATCGGTAATCATAAAATTAGAGCCAACCAACTAATTAACAAAGCATGATCATGAATTACTTGTCAATACAATGAAGAGTTATGAGTTTAAATATGGGTCTCAAGCATCAAATGAAAATTCCACCACTTAATTAATCAACATTCCAAAATCAAGCTACAAGTGTCTCATGCACATTTTATCAAACATGTAGTGTGCATCCAATTACAACAACCGAATCCTAAATCTAGGAATGATAAAATTGCAACTAGAATCAAAGAAAACAAGCAAGGTAAAATTAGCCAATGTAGTTCATTGTTCAAACTCCATTCATCTCCAATGTAGTCCATAAGCTCTAGCCACGCATCGCTTTATTAAAACTCCATCCAAGTGCAGCAACCAGTTCGACATTCATGAGAGAATCCATGAAACTAGCTGGACAAATTGATGCGGAGGATATGGATTGGTTGGTGTGATTGGTGAATGTGCTGGTTTGGATTAGAGAATTGAAGAGAAGAGATGTAGAAATCAGAGGTTGAGTGGCATGGAGAAAGTAAAGATGGGAAGGAAATGGAAATAAGGAAGACGATGATGAGAAAGCCAAAAGTGACCGTAAGGAAAAAATGAGGTGAAAGCCGATTGAATCCTCTTATGTATAGCACGTGAGTTTTTTTAATTTTCT